AGGCAACATTTTTGCTAATTTTAATGAAACCCACTTCCTCAAATTAAATTAACTTGGTATTAACATTTTAGTATTACTTGAGGACAAGTAACATTTAAGTTTGAGAGATTTTGATGCGTAGAAAAAGATGTTTGAATTCCCTTATATTTTGCATATTTTTATGGATAAAATTGCAATATAAGGAAAGATATTTTTATGTTTCTCTTGCAGGTACAATAGGTATTAGAAGTGGAGCAATGTGGAGAAGAAATTGAGCAAAGTAGAGGTGACTTGGAGCAAAGGAGGACCCAAGTGACTGGCACCTTGAAGCCAGATTTTTTGGGCACTTAAGCACCATCCCACCCTGGGAACTCGAGAGGCTAGCACCTAAGCGCCAGTCAGTGGGCACCAAGGTGCTACTATACTAGCGACGTGGCACCAGATTTTTGGGCGCCTAGACTCCCATAGTAAAACTGATGGATAGAAAGCCTAGCGCCTTTGTGCTAGAAAATGTATGCAGTTTTCAGTAGTTCCTTTACATGATATGGGGAATTATTCAGCATGATAAAGGGGTTCTTGGGTGAAGAAGAATGAGTCTTTTGGTGGTCTTTTCAAGACTTTTTCCAAGCCTTTAGAGAAGGATAGAGTGGGAGAGCATTTGTGAGAGATTTGGAGAGAATTTCAATTGTAAAGTGAGGAGAGACTTGAGGAGAGTAGCAAGAGCACTAGGAGATCCTTTGGGAAGTATTCTCAACACTTTGTAAAAGGGGAAATCAAAGTGTTGTGTACTCTTATTAGTGTATTTATGTAAACACAATTCTATAGTGGATTTCTTTTTAATAAAGATTTTATGTGGTGTTTTCTCAATGCTTTCTGAGTAATTTTTTTTAGTTTTTCCCATTGTAGTATTTAAGTAGGAAGTGTAGAAATGAAAGAATATTTTTAAAATTAGTTTTTAAATATATAATGTTATGTGTTCATTTACTATTCATTTTTGTCAAGTGATTAGTTAAAATGTGTTGTAACCCATAATGACTTGGGAGAGCTATGAAAGAAAAATATGTTATTCACATTGATCTATAGAGTACAATGAAGTACTTTGTAGGGAGATGCAAATTTTAGGGAAATAATCTTTGATGGGTTCAAATTGAGATTTAAGAAATTAAACCCAATTTAACCAATCTTCTTAATGCACTTGGGAGAGGGTAAAGATGAGAGTTGCTCATATTTGTCACTAGCCACATTCACAATTTGCATTTTTCATTTCCTACACCCCACTTAGATCATTGTAAGAGAAGGTAGCTTTATAACTTGATTCTCACCAATCTAACTATATTAAGTAGAATTTCAGTAAGAGTAAACTTTTAAGAGTAGTTTGCAATTCAATAGGACTAGTTAGCACAACTTGAAACTAATTTTACTTTGAAGTTAAGAACATGTTTATTAGATAAGAACTTTTCCTATTACTTAAACACCTTGCTTTCTGTGGGTTCAATAACCTGGACTCAAAAGTTCTATACTACAAAAATGATACATATACTTGTGTAAGGCCTCGTAGTGCAACTGTAGTGAAATTAAGTTAAGGCCGCATCACAAATTTTAGCCACTGAAGCCCCGCCTCCATTCAAAGCCGACCCCTCCCATCTCCATCCATCACTCACGCCCATTGTCTCTGTTCGACCAAAACTACCGCGTCATCTCTCCTTCTTGTGTACTCTTCTCTATTTTCCATCTTCTGTACCTATGTCAACGCATGCAGTAAGTCCTTCTTCCCTCTTCCCACTCCTTTCCGTTCACAGTCGAGATGAGGTGGAATGTGAGGGAAATGGAGATGGGAAGAAATGATGATGTGAGAGGAAAGTGTTAAGGTTTTGGAGTTTCTGAGGAGAGATGAGGAGGAAGGGGGGTTGGAGAGGAGAACGAGTTCTTCATGGTGGTAAGTTAGGGGCATTCACATACATACTTCCCTATTCTTAATGAATTTACACAGCCAACATGTATTTTTTTATTTTTTTATTATTTTTATTTATTTTTTCATTTATAACACCCAAATCTATCATGTCTCATAACAAATACCACTATTTTAACTTTAAAATGTTATATTTATTTTTTCTTGCATTGGTGAAAGTGTTATAAATGTAAAAATTAAGTTTAGGTGCTAGGTATGTAAATGCATAGGAATTGGATCGTATGTATGTAAATCTTCACATATAAACTGTCATTTTGGTTTTGAGAAAAATAGTGGTTTGATTCATCATATTTACCACCTTTTGTAAGATGCATTTAACTTTTTTAAAGTCAAAATAGTAGTGTTTGAACCTTATCATTTACCTTCTAATTGTGTTGACTATTCTTTCTAAGCATCATTTGTTGTGTTTATAGGAATGAGCTCTAGTAATTCTTCTACAACGTTAGATGCCATGCATTATATATACAACTCAGCAAGGTAAAAATAAGGAAGAAGGTTTTATTGTTGCCCAAAAATGCTAACACGTGGTGATTGCCAATTTTTCCAATGGATCAATGAAGACACACCAACAGTTAATGACATCTTACGTCTTTTACATGAGCATTTCAATATGAATAGAAGACACGATGATATGGTTAAAAATAATTTTCAGGCCATATTATTTCATTTGAAGGTGTTGATTGGAGTGAATGTTGTAGCCATTATATATTTTATTTGTGCAAGGAATGTGTAGGAATTGTTAGGTCTTATGTTCTTAAGGTGTCTTAATTATTGTAATGTGTCGTTGTCACTGTGAAAGCATATGTAACCATTGTTTGTTTTCATTATATTTTGCTTATTGACTCATCCCACAGTTACGTAATTATTTAATTTCAAGATACGGCCAAAAGCTTGACTGAATTTATATTTAGCGGCTAGTGTGTAAGATTAAATATTATATAAAGATAATAAAAAAGATTTACACACTAGGGGTACTACACAAGTATACGTATTGTTTTAAGTAATATAGAATTTTCTTTTAAAACCTCAGTATTGATCCCATGGGGAAAAACCAGAACTCTTATAAAATTGACTTTAATAAAACCTACTATTAACTATAGAAAAACTTATATAAGAAATAATCGCAAGTTGTTTAGAAATATATAATCCTATAATATTAAAAGAATGCTAGTATGCTAAGAAAATGTAAATGTAAGACTATTTAAAAAGAGTTTTAAAATGCAACGTTATTTCTACTCTAAACTAATAATGTATGATAAGTTCAAATTTTTATAAAACATTCTTCCCCTTGTAATGAGTATACAATTAGTGTAGGAAAATAATTTTAAAATATAACTAAGGTATTGTGCTAAATATGAGCAATTCTATTCTTTACCCTCGATCAAGTGTATAAAGAACATTGGCTAATCCAGAGTTTGGTCCCTAAACCCGTGGTTAGGCTGGGAAGATACTACTCTTACTCTAAAGTTCCCACTTCTCCTCCCCTGAGGGCTAACATTTCGCTTTAGTTTCCAACCATCTGGACAAAACTGTGGATTTTAGTTTGTCACCCTAAAACCTCTAATTCTACGTCAATCAAAACTTATTTTTCTATTTATTTGCACTTAACCTCAAAGACTGCATTCTCATCCATGAGACCAAATAAGATTCTTACTATGTTGAAACATAGCCATAACAATGGGTCACTACATTTTACAACAAATTTTAACAAATCAATTAGCAAGATTGACAAGTAAATGAAGCATAGAGTTTGAATCATCACAATTTATGAAATTTTAAAAACACTTTAACTAAACTACATTCCTACAAATAATTATTTCTCATTGCAGGGAGAAAGACAAATGAAACTACTCAGATCTGATGGGGAAGAAACAACAACACATGGATTTATAGATAAATAAAAGCTTACAAGACTAGACAAAGTAAAATACTCTTTCCCAAGCAATCCTTCAAGTTCCTTTGAATCACTCACTCTCCTTACAATTCACTCTAAACTTACTTGGAATCTGTAGTGAAGAAGATCTCTCACTTCTCATCTCCTCCTTCAAATCTGCAGTAAGCCTTCTCTTTCTCCTCTCTAGGAAGAATCCACTTCTCTACAATAGATTTCCTTTTCTTCCTCCCAAAAGTCTCTCCTTTGAACCTCCAGAAGTCTCTTCAAATAGATCTCTCAAAATCACCAAAAGTCTCTTCAACCACCTCTTCAAAATTCGTCCAAATTCAATGTACCTTCTAGATTACTGTTGCTGGCGCCTAAGCGTCGGATTCTGGCGCCTAGGCGCTAATTCAACATTGGCCTTTTCGCTTCATTTGACTCCAATTTGCTCCATTTTCAATTTTCAATTTGCTCCATTTTCAATTTTCAATTTTCAACATAGGCGCTAATTCAATTTGCTCCATTTGCTCCATTTTCGCTCCGTTTGCTCCATTTGCTCCATTTAGTGTACTTACAACCAAAACATCAAAAATACATTTCATTAAAGCACAATATTATTAAAAATAGACATTAAATGTATAAATAAAAGCAACATATTTTAGGCATGTCACTTATATTAATCATTTATGGACATACTTTATGTAAACCTAAGCTTGCCATACAATGCTTTTGTTGCAGGAAGTGTGTTGTGCTATATCTTTCTATTTCTTAATCATATCATAAATTTCTATATATATATAACACTCAAATCTTTAAAATTACATAAACATATTTAAAAATAAAATATATTTTAATGTATATATTATGACACCTATAGGTATTATAATGTAAATCTTAAACTTTAGATTTTACACATTTAAATGCATTAGAATTGTGTGGTATGTTTGTAAATTTCCTAAATATTAAATAATTAACCCTAATCCAAAATCTCAAATCTCTTACTTGAAATAAATCTCAAAGCTAAATAAACTATATTCGATCTCCGGTTCTCTTCTATTACAATATTTTACAAACTCTCTTTTAAAAACTCAACAGTTCTCAGTTTCATAACATGTAATCAACTCAATATTAAAGTCTCCATTGTCAAATTCTTAATTATGAGCCAAACAAAGATCATAAAAAATATCATAACTATCTTCAAAAAAATATACAATCATATGTGGTGACTGGTTCCATCATATAATCCACCATTCTTACAATCTCTTCCAAATTTTCCTCTCTGAAAATCTCATTCTGATTCAAATTCACAAAATTTGATGTGAAGCTGATATTATTTGTCTGAGCTTTAGAATTCCATTGTCCAGCTGAATAAAACTAACGATTCTCCTCCACAAATCTTTTCATCTCCTTCCTTGAAACTGCATCCTCCATGGAGGTATCTGTGTTCCTTTCCAGCTTCTAACTCTAAATTACTCGTCTTGGAACTTGAATCTGTTGAATTCTACATTCCAACCCTCCTTCACCCTCCTTCCATTTCAGTTGATGTGTGTACTCTTGAACGATGCATTTCTCTTGAATATTCTACAAATAGTCCATGATTCCTGCATAGATAAAAATGGTGATTTGAAGGTATAATCAACTTCAAAGCCAATGCCAGGGTGCTACACTAACAATGAACTAGTTAAAAAATAATATTTTTACATAAATCTTGAAATTTGTTATGTGCATATCTGCCACCAAGTTACTAAACGAAACTCACATGGGAGCCTTTTTTATCACCCATGACTTTCTTTTGGGGACTTCAATGGGGTTTAAGTAATGCAATGAACGAGTGGAAACATTAATTAATTGTCTTACAACTTCAATGATGGTGGAAGGGGTACTCGTGTTGCAGATTTTGTTTGAGGAAGAAAGTCTGAATTCATGCGTCATCCGATTAGTTTTGGCAAGCTCAGAAACATTAATTAATTATCTTACAATGCTTTTGTTGCAAAGATATTAAAGTGATTGTGCATTAAAATGATCATTACCTCCATGCTAATAATCCATTTAGGATTATTACCTCCATGCTTTTGTTGCAATGAATGAGTGGAAACATTAATTTATTGTCTTACAACTTCAATGATGGTGGAATGGGTACTCTTGTTGCAGATTTTGTTTGAGGAAGAAAGTCTGAATTCATGCATCATCCAATCAGTTTTGGCAAGCTCAAAAACATTAATTAATTATCATACAATGCTTTTGTTGCAAAGATATTAAAGTGATTGTGCATTAAAATGCTCATTACCTCCATGCTAATAATCCATTTAGGACAGTTTGCACCATAGATACCGCAACAGCCTCCCTGAAAGCACATATTATTTAGTAATTCTTACATTAAAATAAAACAAAAAAATGCTATAATGGTTCTATCTGAAAATATTCTTGAAAGAAAATGTAGCATGATTATAATTATTGCAATGTCACTTTGTTCAAATAAAGATAGCTTTCATACAAACGAGCTGCACAAACATGAAATTTTAGAATTAAAAAAATTAAGTGTAAGAGGTAGAAATCTTTTCATTTTTATGTCTAGCAGCACAAACATGAGTCAGTTGATCATTTGTAAGCGTAGCCAAAACTAAGAGAATGAACAGTTTGAATGGGAGTCCAACAAAATATGGAAATTAAGGTGTTTTTGATCGAGTAACTACTGGAATAAGGAAATCTAGATATTGAGAACCATGCCAGAACTTTAAGGGGATACTTTTAAAGGCTTAATCATTGGATAAAGAATGTTTCAAGATCCGCATTAATGTTTGTCTGCCAAATGTAAAAGAGAAAATCTCTGAAGTTAAGATGCTTAGCTTCAAAATTCCTAAGCGTAAGAACCAATAAAAATTGCAATTGGATAAAATTTAAAATATCTACAGTAACAAGATTTCCTTAAGCATGATGAACTTTAAAATATCTGCAACAATAAATACAATTATTAAAAATCAATGAAGTGTTATATAATCGTAAAGAAAAAATAAATTTAACTAAATAGTGGATGAAATTGTAGGAGGTAAATTAATCTACGACGTTCAAATAACATGATCTAATACAAAAGGTTGCAACTAAGTCAATTTCAATAGATGCAGTGCATAGTTAAAAAAATAACATTTTAAATATATTAACATATAACAGTCCATAAAAACTAGTGTGAGCATATACATCCTATAATATACATATTAACAATTCTAACCCCCAAAAGATTAATAAATTCATAACCTCAAGTTCTATCTCATAAATTAAGTGAGCAAATCTAGCTCTCTTAAGTTATAATTTCAAATCAACCAAAATTAATTAGCTTCATTCCTACATCTATCCAATATCAAGCAAACACACCTCTATCTCTGATGACGGGCACAATTAATGGATTATCGAAACTAAAACTACTTTAAAGATTCTTACTAAATGACAAGCGAAATTATTGCAAATTATAATCTTTGTGGTTAGCAATATCATTAATGCTCCCAACATCAAATGAATCTATGTTCTAGAATTTCTCTCCTTAATGATAGGTTCGATTATTACAAAATCATAATTACTAAGGGTTACCATCACCAAAGAACCATAAATTGATCATACAAAAATAAATTGAGTATGCTCTACAGACTCTTGCACGAATGGCAGACAAGTTATTGGGAAATCATAACAAGAGAAACTATCATGCATAAAAATCTTAGGAAACTAAAATGCGAAGCACTTTAGGCTTAATCATCCAGCTAGTCAAAGAAGTTCATCAACCAAGCAAAGAGAACTTCATGCCTCACAAAGCTTCAACAAGCCAAGCCAGAAAAGTGAAAGAACCATCAATTCACCAGGCTAAATGCCAAGGGGAAAATATCAGAACAATTCTCCAAATAAATTTTACTTACCTTTAGAAGGGATGTAGAGACAATTTACATTCCCAAGTTTAGAAAAATTTGAAGTTTTTTATCACAGGTATGAGTTGTGCTGTAGTCTCAGTGAAGCAGATTCCATTTAGAATCAGCCAACTATAGAAAATTTTAAAGTTTTTTTCATCTAGAAATCATCACATTTATGAGTTGTGTTGCATATCCAACACGTATGAAAAAGTGAATGAAACAAGACCACATCTCGGCTGCGAACTGGAAGAAGAAGGGGGAAGAGGGAAAGACTTGCTGCTGGCGCAGACGTCGGTGCGGAAGATGGACATCGGAGAAGAAGATGTGGGAAGGAGAGACAGCGCGGTAGTTGTGGTTGAACGGAGACGTCTGGCACGGGTGACGGATGGAGACGAGAGGGGTAGGCTTTGAACGCAGATGGAGCTTCGGTGGCTAAAATTTGTGGTTTTAGGTTTAGGATGGTTGTTTTGAAATGTTAGAAATGTAACTGTTTATTTTGTTATTGTTAAAATTTTAAGTGATAGGTAGGTAAAAACCTCATATCATCAATAATTTTGCGGCCCCGGTTCCCCTTTCTTCCGACTTCATCCCAAGGAATCTAAACTTCGTCGAGGAAGGCAACCGAATCCAAATTATTAACAGAAAGAAATGAGCACAGGGGAGCTCGTTGATTTAAGCCCTAAAGCCGGTGCCATTCGCACGCCGTCACTTCATTCTGTTCTCGACTCAAACCCTTGATTCCAGGTATTCAATCAATCCTCTTTTTGCTGCCCTATCCTTTTGTCATCTGCCTCTTTTTTCACTGAATTGCCATTTAAATATATTTCTTCACAAATTCGTTTCATTTCTTCTGCAACTTGTTGGATCTGAGTGCTTATTAGTCGGATTCTCTCTTTGTTGCGGTTGTAGGCGGTTGTATACTGACACGGTTAAATTTTGTAAGACGCAGATGACAAGTTAAGCTTTTGAATGTTTTATTTTATTGGGTAAACCTGTTGAGGATTTGGGCAACTAATGTTAGTCTTACATCAACTTAAGAATGTGCATTTTATATTTGTTTAATTTTATAGGACTTTCTGCTCCTTTTTGGGGCTCTTTGTGTACGGGAATCTTTAGCTGCTCGTAGAAATTTAAGTCAAATAGGATTTTTAAATTCTGATTTTTCGAATGCAGATGCTCAAAATTCATAATAATGTTTTGGTTCAGTTTAGATTAACTCCACTGAAATCTGTTTGCCTTTTTAGGCATCTTATTTCAGGATTTAAATTTTGTTCTGCACTAAATCCGTTAAGTCTATTTAAATATCGGATTTAGTAAATCTGGATTTACTTCAAAAACTGACGAAGGGAGAGAAATTTGGATTTAACAAACTATATGATTTTTTTCACATTTTTTCATGTTTGGTTGGATTTACATTAAACTCGCCCATAAATCCTATTAAATCTTTGCTACCAAACACCGGCTATAAGTAGGATTTATTAAATCTAGTAAGTCTTGAGAGGATTAAAACTTCAAAATTGTTTGGCATATCAATTGTTAAAACTTTGCTAATGAGTTATAAACTATTAGGATAATTGTTTAATTATTTAAGGTTTATGATTGGGAGAAGTCCTTAAATCCTTTAGACCACCTGAATGATGGTGTTTAACAAACGACAAGGTAGAAACTAGATTTATCAAATTGATATGATTTAAAGTCCCTGAAATTATGTTTGGTGTGATTCAAGTCGAACACTTATTAAATTTTACCCAAATGGCCTCTTTGTACGACTTAGGTATGATTTGGCCTAAAATTTCCCAAATCATTTACAATTGTTTATTCAATCTTCCTTAAAGTGAATATGTGATCCATGACTTGATAAATCTGGTCTCAATTCTAGCAGGATTTGATAAATCTTCTCAAGATTTAAGAAATATACTTGAATAGTATTTATGAGATCTCTTCAAATTCCCTAAATTTCTCAATATGAAACCAAATGACCTGGTGATTTGGTTCGATTTAAGAATTGGGCAACTAAATAGTTTTATCATTAAGATTTACTAAATTCAAATAAATCCTATTTGAATACGATGTATCAAATCCATATTTTCTAAAATCTGACCTTCAACCAAATTGTTTCTAAGGTTGTTGGAAATAACAATCATGTAAACGCTGGATAAATATATATATATATATAGTCCATTGAAAATTCTTTGTGATTTTCATTTTTAATACTCGTAGCAAGATTTGCATCTATATAAAGTAGCTATGTTTATTACTTTTTTTTAAACAAAACGTTGGTTTGTCTATTCTTTTCATTGGAATTAGCCAGCCATCTTTTTGTATTTTACCTTAATTTATATAAATAAAGCACTTATCTTCTTTATAATCAGAAATTTTGAAAGATTTATGATATATATTTAAATATATGATTGTAAAATTCTTTGTAAAATGAAATACAATTTATCAAACAATGGTGAACAATCAATATGCTGTCCATACAATAATAAAATCTTAAATTTTTTATGCCTTTAGGATTTTAGCACATAGGGTTGTTGACCTCAATTTTCGTGAGGTCTAGTTTTTCTCGTAGGAGTTAGGATCTAGCCTTAGGGGTCTTCCTGCGATTATCTTAGAACCTTAGAAGTGGTGCCCGCCTCGTTTTAAGTTCGACCTATTTCCGTTCTCTTTTGTGGTTCCAAGTGTGTGGTATCGACTTCTAGCATTTAGAAGGGTGAAACCAACATGAGGAAACCCAAAAGGGATCCCTATAGGACCTTTTTGAGCCTTAGGGTGGCCTTCTGCACAATTCGCACTCCCGCGCGCACAAACTTCGCAATTCGGAGAGCCAACACGTCCGATCGCCATAATTCACATCGCTTGCACTGTTACCCGTCGAAGACTCGAATGAAATTTTTGAAACAATCGATCGCAGGTCGATTTTTTGTGAAGTTTGAATTTCGACGCGTTTTGACCTGATTGTCGGCGACGTCGTCCGAGCGACCCCGGATGACGAAACGGACTGCGCCAACGCGTCCGGAACGTCAATTTTGCCTAGGGAGGACACCTATTTTGTCGCATCGTCGTGCGCGGGTAAAATG